GGAAATAATTTAGGGAGTAGCAGTGCCGGCAGGGCGCTCTCAAAAGCCTTTGCACCACGCGTAACATCTCAAGTACCTTGTGAGCAAAACAGCTCAAATGATGTTTCACACTGCATCTTGCCCTTTAGAAAGGAATTACTTCAGTCCAAGTAAATCTAGTTAAGTGCATATGGCAAGAGATTTATGCAGTTTTAGCAAAAACTGTCTTAATTTTTAAAATGTCCTTGCTGCTACAGAAATCTGAACATAGTTGCCAGAGTAAAGTGATGGTGTTGCTTTCTCAGCACTGCAAATATTCTTAGCTAAAATATGAAGGAAAAGCTTTTTTTAAAATGTTAGTTTAGAATCATGTTTGGCTCCATCCATGAAAACTGAGTTACATCTTCATGTGAACACAGAGCAGGTGAATTTTACTCTGGTCTCTGTTGCATGTAGATGAAGATTAATTCAAAGAATATAAAAAAAAATTAAGATGTTTGGATAGATGTATTCCAGTCACTCTATATTAATGTACAAATTGAATCCTTGAATAATTGAATTTACCTACAAATACAGTATAAAAGGCTGATGTGTGCAGTTCTGGAGATCTATATTCTGTCATCAGAATCCTTCAGCTGTTTGTACCTGCATTTGTTTTTAAGAGCAGTAAAAGCCAAAAGATTCCAGCGATTGTATCTCTAGTGAAACTCCAGCTTCAGTTTGCTATTTTAGGTCCTGGGTGTTTCCAGGATTTGGTGACTGTATCTGATCTTAGACTGTATAGCACAATAATATCTGGGCATATCTAAGAATAATATCTAGGTTTAAGAATAGAATGAACTCATGAAATCGGAATTCTTTGTTTCCATTGATGTTAAACTGGATTGTCTTACTTGGATGCTTACTGGCACCCTGTTGTGACTTTCCTGTAGATTTGAGCATTACTTAGTTAATATAAACTCCTAAATGTTCTGATCTCAGCTGTACCCTCAGCTATTTCTGTGCAGCTGTGGTTCGTGTTAGTGGTATCTCTGAGAGCAGAGTTTGACCTATTTGTAAGGTGTACAGAGCTTTTCAGCAGGCTTTCCATACGTTGGAGAACAAGAGACAGCGAAAGAGCAACCATGCCCCACCTCTTCCTTCCTTTTGGTCCTGTGTGGGATGGAACACTGAAAAGTTCCTTCTCTGGAGCTGCAGCTTATTTGTGTCCTGCCTGCTTTGAAACAATTTTTGCATAGTAGCAGCTATTAATGTTGGATGTGTGGCTGTTAAGTATGTTTGGAAAACACACCAGCTGCAGGCAGCGGGACTGTGGAGAGGTGGCATGTGTCTGGCTTGGGGCACTGGAATTTTCAAGTCCCAGGAGAAGGCTGTGGCTGAAGGGCAGCAAAGGCACTTGGCATGGTTGTGCTGTCCACCATGGCAATAATGAGGATGGATGTTACTGAAAATAAAGGTGATAATTTGGCAAGGATAGGGAGAAAAAAAAAAGGCAAAGGGCAAGAGAATACCTTCCCTTGGAGGTGTGTTGCAGGCTGCCTGGATTTCCTGCTCCAGCAGAGCTGCCTAGATTAGATTAGTAATTACCATTTCTAGTAATTACCATTTCTCCTAACTTAGAGAATGCTGTAATTAATGTGAAAACTAACTGCTGGCCTTGTTGGCTTCTAGCTTGCTGGTAAGAGGTTTAGTTTAGAAACTCAGATAACATAAACCAGCCAACATGTGTTTGCTTTGCAGAGCGGATGAGAAGCGTTTGCAGGGGAAGGTCCTGTCTGCTGCTGCCGTGGGCTGGGTGGGTGGATGCTCCCTCTTGGCCATACTCTAACTCGGGATTCAGCTGTTGTGTGAGCTGCATGAGCTACAGGGGTGTTACCGCCAAATACTGGTATAGGGTCACATTCCTGTCTAGTGTGCTAGGTTCATCTGTTGAGTCTAGTTTCAAAACGCGTTTTTCCAAGTTACTTTATTTTTTGTTCAGGTCCCTTCCTTACTGTGTCTCGCGGGCTAGGTTAAACCTTACAAGAGAGTGAGGTGTTTTGACTGCATCCTTGTTGCCAGTTCAGATTGGTTGCTCCATTTCAGATCGGGTGTATACACGGAAAACATTTTGTCCTGAGTGTACTTGTTTGCGCATGTATATGCTGTTCTCTGTGTGTGTGTATATAAACGTATGTTCTCCTTTTTATAAAAATAACCTTGAGGGCAGAGTATGTTTACAAAGCAACAATGTTTCTTTCTGGTTTCTGTTTCTAGTTCAAAGCATGTTTTTTTAAAAAAGTCCAGACATTGTTCTTGTATCGTCTTCTGACCAGGAAACTCTATCATCTTGGACTGCTGCCATCTCCAGCATTGCATAAGGCTTAATTTCTGTAATTCTTTAAACAAAAATATGAGAAATAGGAAGTCCATGTGTGAATGCTTGCGAGACTGCTAGGGAGCTGCAGTTTTCTTTGGGAGCTGCATTAACTACTGTACAACGAGGCTTCGATTGGCGTGTTGCAAATGGATAGAGCTCACTCCAGATATTTCAGTTATACATAATGCAAAGACACTGGCAGTGGTTATGAAGCAAGGTTACTAGTTTGCATAAAAGAGCCTTAACAAGAAATAGGATTTGAAATAGCATCTTTAAATCTGAAACGCAAAGATTTCCAGTGCTAACTTAGGTCAGTTTTCAAGAAAACGGAATTGCATAAGTAAGGGCACGTTTTTGCCTTCATTACTATGCTAACAGAAAAAAAAGAAAAAGAAGAACCAACCCTAAATGTACCTACCTTGTCGTCCATGCTTAAATGTAATGCAACATTTATCAAGCTCCTCTAAAAATACAACAAGCTGTCTCAGGGATGCTGAGCTAAATATATAATTGAGATCATCATTTCTCTGTTCAGCGTCTGCTGGAAGCGTGCAGCCATCCCTCGGTTTCACTGGTTGTTCTAATGTAAGGGGTGTCTTGAAGGTATCATTCTTTTCGCTGTAGGATGTCAGCGGAACAGCTGTTTAAACCTCACTTGATCAGTTTAGGATAAAAGCCCGTGTGGCACCTTATAAAAGGGATAGAGCCAGAAACAGTGGAAAAGGTTAGACTTGTTTCAGAAGCTTCCAAGTGCTCCCTGAAAAAAAGTGACCAGTAAGTTATTTTCAGTTCCTCTGGTCAGAACTCTCTTCTCTGAGCTGATGGTTTGTATTCAAATTATGTATTTTTTACTGGTATTATGGCACTGTCTAAAGACATAAACCTATGCTGAGAGCTTACTGTGCTGACACTGTAATATGCATAGAGTTACTCTCTGTGCAAAATGTTAGAGAATGCAGGGGTGTAAAAGAAAATGATTTTCCATTTTAAAGACAAGAAAATGAAAAGAAAAGAAAATTACGTGTTCTGTTGGCAAACCAACTTTGTCTTCTTCCCCCTTAGCTCTTTATAATCATGTCAAAATAGACTATTTAGGTCATTTACTGATGACCTGTGAATGCCATGTCTGTCACAGCCTTTTAAAATTTACAAGTGACAAAATATTCCCAATAAAGTTTAATTAGCATAGCAACTGAAGATTCTTGAGCATCACCGAAATGCATTAGGGCTAATATTGTGGGAGGTCTAGCTATGGGCTAAGGGATTACTCAGCTGAGATTGCCAGTGCAGAGCTGATCTGGCTATTTCAAATTATCTGAACCTAATTAAATGAAAACATACAAGCAGATAATTAGTGGAGCTGTTGGCTAGAAAATCTTCCAATATTAAATTAGAAGTTTCCTTTAGGGGCAGATAAATTACAGTGAATATATCTTGGGCTGTGTGTTAATCACAAGTATTATAAGTGTATCTGATATTGGCCTGGAGGAAGATTTAAAACTCAGTTTTTGTTGCGAACTTTCCAAAGTTCATGCAGGGTCTTCAAGCCCTGTGCAGCTTCCCTCAGTGTGCTACCTCCAGTTACAGATGAGTGAGGCTGTTCTAGCCCGCATACATGTGTTTTAATTGCTCTTAAACGTCACAACCTGATTACAGAGTATTGACAGGGAGAAGTTTGGGGCAGTTCAGCAGCAACAAAATGTTAGCAAAGATGGCTCTGCTCATGGCAGGTACTGAGCAGCACCTGCTCTGACTTGCATCGTTATGGTTTCTGGGGTTTTTCTGTCTTTTTGGTTGTGTTTAGAGCCAGTCCCAGCCCGTGGGGCAGTACAAGGAGTGTGGAATGAGAAGGATCCACTTGCCTTTCATGCCACAGTGCTCAGCTTGGTTATTTGGGTTAACATGGCTCTTGGGAGGAGTGTGTGAGGGTGTAAATGGTGTGGTGTGGAGTGGTGGTAGAAGGTGTATTTCTCTGTTGGATCAGCAGGTGATAACCAGGGGCCTGTCTTGTCGTGCCGGGGCTGGAGAGGGCTGCCTGGCTGCGAAACACCTGCAAGAGTGAGATATCCTAGTACAAGTGTATAAGTGTGAACGTGTTGTGTGTTTTGGTTGAGCTGTTGTTATTTCTTTGATAGGAAAGCAGAGTTAGGTGATAAAACACTTTACCCATTCCACCAGTTTGATTTTTTTTTTCCCTACCAGTTCCATTTAATTTGATTTTCCTCATCCACCCAGCCCTTGACAGCCTACCTGTGCTGGTACCGGAGTCCCAGTAATCTCACCATTCTGGCTTCAAAACAGTTGCCACCCTGCAGAGGCTGAAGGACTGCTGGCTCTTGGGTTTGCACCCAAGGGACAGCCCTGGACTCCCTGGTGGCCTTGCTGCTCAACTCCCGGCCTCAAACTCTTCTGGCTCCAGGAGCAGTGTTTTTGAGAATTACGGCTGCTTCTCATTGTCCCACGGCTGTTAATGTGGGCTGTATTTTTGGTTCCTGGCCATGGGCTTGGCTGGATTAAAGCAGATGTTGTCTACAGCCTGCTTTGCTAAGGGGTCTGGATTGCTCGGCGTCAGCGGCCTGTCTTCATCTTTATTTACTGCTCTTCTAAGTATAGCTGTTTTCAGATTTAATTGGGGATGAGGATGTGGATAAAAGTATTAAATACCCTGGGACCAAGATCTGATCCCAGCAGGACCCCTCTGGAAGCGTACTGACTCAGTGGTTCCTATTTAAAATTAGATTGTGACACCTGTCAGCCGATTTTTTTATTTACCGTGTGCTGTGTTAGCTTCTATAATTCTGGTTTCTCAAGCAGAATATCAGCTGCCTTCCAGAAGTCTGTTCCACGGACCCTGTTATCCCTGTTAAGCACATCTGTCATCTCAAAGATAGAAGGTTGTTTGACAGACTCTGTTTTCCACAAAAACCTTGTTGATTGCCATTACTTATTTCCTTTCTTTCTTAATCATGTCCTGTCTTTGCTATTGCATTATTTTGCTGGGATAGATTCCAGGACGACAGGCTTATAATTATCTGGGTCACCCTATTTATCGTTTCTAAATATCCTTTTCTGGAACTTTCCCATTGTTCCACCCTTCTTTTGAAAATGAGCGTGCAACAGTCCAGAAAGCCTCCAACTCTTCTTAAACATTTTGAAGCAAGTATTTGGATATATTGACTTGAAAAATGGGAGGCCAGGGATCTAATGTCGTTGTAAATAAAAACTGTGATGAAAAGTGACCTGGCATTATCTTGTGGCTGTGACTCGATGCTCTGCTGCTTTCCCAGAGCTCGTGGTTATCACGTGCTTTTGGAGCAGTCCTGCGCTTTCTGTGTTACCGGTGTTCCAATGGACAACTCTGACACTGCTCTCCAGTAGTGCTGGAGTTACAATTCCCTTTTTTCCTAATGTGACTCTTCAGTCCGATACACAATTTAGGAAAAAATGTAAAACCCCGGAAGTTAATGGAAACGTTTGCTTTCTTGACCAAGTCTTTTGGGTTATTTTTCAAAGCTCATGGGCGTAACAAAAGGGCTCCAGGTTTATGGATGTAGCATTAGCAAGTGAACCCGTTCTGAGATTGGATTTGTGTCTTCTCGCGCAGACAGCTGCCCACAGGGGCTCCTTCACCATCTCGCTGGTTTGTGGGGCTACTGGGTTTTTGGTCAAATGGCTTGGCTTTGCTTCTGAGTGTTTGATTTTTCTATGTTCTCTTTAAATTCAAATCCCAGACTTGAGAAAAAATTCTTGCCTTCTGCACTGAATGACGTTACCTTAGGTCTTCCAGATACAGTTGCTGATTCTGCTGCCACCAAACACGATGGTTTAAAAGTCTGCTGGAGTGATGGGCATAAATTAGATACATGAGATGTAAGGGTGCAGGAATATTTTGAGTGTATCATGATGTCTGGAAATCATGTCCTTCCTCTTTAAGGGTGGTTGGTGGCTTTGAGACTCTGACTGCTATGGAGAATGTGGAAAGTGACCCAAAAACAGACCGTCCCAAGGTACGTGTGAAGCACGAGGGGCTGTGCAGGAGGGAGCAAACACATATGGCCTCACGTGGCAGTGCGGTTCAGCCTGCTGATGCTTCTCTGAAAGCCACACTTGGGGAAGATGGTGCAAGTTAATCAGCACGTTGATTTGCTCTTCTTCTCTTCTTTTCCCAGGAGGAAATACGAATTCAGGCAACAACTGTTTTTGTTGATCCATATGAAGAGGCAGATGCCCAGGTGAGAACAGTTGGTTTTTTTGAAAGACCAAAGCTCTTTGGAAGACTTTGTAAACTAATGCCTTTTCTTTGAACACAGGCAACCCCTTGGCCCTTAGGGTTGCAGGCTAAGATAAAACAGGCGCCATTCAGTATTGCCTTGTGTGCCAGGATCATTGCTTTCTTTCCAGATGCCCACGGTAGCTATGGGTAGCTTCAGGTGAGAAGAGTGTTGTTAAAGTGGCCACAGACAGCCTGTTTGTAGTGGCCCTTGAGGTCTGTCTTCTAAAGTCTGCCCTGTAATCATTGCAGTGCTGGTTGCTGTTTTAGAGTGCTTTAAAACTTTAAATAATTGGAGACATTTTCTTGTTACTCTGAACTAGCTTTGCAGCCGATTGCACTCTTTGCTTCCCACAGGTTGCTGCAGAAAGAGAGAAGGTCCAGCTAGAAGAAGAAGCAGCCAAAGTAAAAGCTGAGGTGGTCCAACCAAAGAAAGAGGTCGAGACTCCTAAAACTTACCGGCAGGGGATTGGGAAATACATTAACATGGCTGCAGCGTGAGTTCCCCACCCATCTGATCTTTGCTGAGTGTTTTAGTTGCTTTTCGTGCTGGACATTGACCCCAGTGCCAATGCTCAGATGTTTGGTTTGTGCCAGCAGGCTTTGAGAAGACACCTTCATGCAGTCCTAATAGTGAAGAGTTCCCTTTACTCTTGTTGTTTTTCAAGATTACAAGTTAACTGAGCTTTTGTTTTAGCGCTTGAATGTGTCCAAGTTGTTCTTTAACAGCGTGTGCTGACTTCAGAACTGTAGAGACATTTCCACAGCTCCGAAGTCCTTGAGGAACCACACTGTGTCACTTCCTGCACCATCTTTTGTTCTCTTCCTCTTCTGCAGCTATTTCTGAAGGCCGCAGTCCCACAAATGTTTCTCTTTTAGCAGCTTCTCCCCTGCATCAAGTAGTTGCCTTAAGCCCCTGTCAGTCTGCTGATCCAGTTCCCTGTTCAGCTGCACAAACAGTTGTACCAGCACCACTGAAATGGCTGGAAAGGCGAGCAGGTTCCCAGGCTTGCCGTGGGAGCACAGGGTGTCTGGCGAGTAGCTCCAGGGTGCCTGGCTGGTTGTACAGGCTTGTCCTACAGCATCCTCTACAGGGCTTGTCCTACACCATCCTCTCCCGACACCCTCTGTACCCCAGTTGGGATTGGCAGCATCACTTGCTTTCATAAGAACAGCACAGAATCCCGCTTGAGTAACAGCTTTGCATGAGTTTGGGGTAGATTAAAAGAAATGCCATCCACTTGGTTATTTTGCAGACTTCTGTAAAAGCACAAAATGCTGTTGTCTGTCTGCTGCATAAAGGCGTGTATTTATGCATACGCACATCTGAACAGCTATTTAATCAGCTTGTATGTGCCTGCGTAACTTACAGGCATTTGCATAACTGTGAGCACAAGAATACATTAGCCCATGTAGGTCAGTTTGGTGTGTCAGTTAAGTGTTTCAGTTACAAAATACTGCTTGTGCCTTAAAATACTATGTTCAGCTTAAAATTGCTGCCATTCTGCACTGTATTTACAGAGGAAACCCAGGCAGAGATTGCAGCTCTGTGGGAAGGGACAAGTGATATAGAAAGGACTTTTCTTTCTGAGTCTTTCACTCGTTGCAGCCTGCCTCGGTACCGGCAGTTTGGGCTGTAGCAGCCCTTTGGCAGGTTCAGGGTTCTCTGTCTCAGCTACTGATGCCGACAATGAAACCACAGCGCGTGAGCTGGCTGAGTAGTGTTTCCATGGGATTGCAAACTCGGCTCAAGAGAGGCTGAGAATAGCAGCAGTGACTGCAACAGGCTGTGCTCAAGGAACAGGAAAGGATCTGAAAAACTTGCCCAGCTGCTTTACACCTAATTCCTCATAAATCCTTTTGCTGCTACAAATGCAGGGGAGAAGGCGGGGAGAGAACCTGTGGCTCACTTTTTCATCTTGACTGTGCTAAAAACATACAGCTGTTAAATCTTCAGCTCTGGCCAGCAGAACTTGTTGGGTTTTGAACACATCCCTGGAAGTGTCCAAAGCCTGACCCAAACCATCGCTGAAGACACACTCTCGCTCTTTTTGGGTATGCCGAAGGGCACCCAGCTGCCCTGGTCCTACTGAACAGTAAATAGTCCCTGAGAGTTGTTTTCATTTTGGCTCCAGGAAGCGCAGCGTGGAAGATGACGGGCCCTCAACCAGTACAGCTGCGAAGAAAGACAAGAAGAGCACAGGCTTCGGGGACTTCAGCTCCTGGTAGCAGTGCAGGGAGCCCAGCACTGGAGCAGCACAGCAGAAAAAAAAAGAAAAGGCCGCCTCCCACATGTCCCCGAAGAGCCCAAAAGACAGCCTGTCCTGGGGAGGGAAGGCACCAGCCTGCCCTTCCACTGGGAAGGAAAACTGTTGCTTTGTTAAGGCTGGTTAATGTGGCTTTGTTTTCTAGAGAGCTGCGTTCCCCCACTGCATCTTCCTCGAAGGCCTTTTTGTTGTTGTCTTGCTAAGCGGGGAGCGGGCAGCCCAGCTCTGCTGGGGATTAGCTGGAGCCTTTTGCTGCTTGGCTGGCAGCAGCCCAGGCAGAGCCCGAGCCTTGCAGGACGCTACTTCAGTGAACGCTACGGTGGTGAAAGAGCTCCTTTTACAGGTAATCATTTCCAGACCAGCCAAGTCTGCTGAGTGAAGGGATGAATTAATGTGCTGGGGAGTGCCTGTGCTGCTGTAGCACTTTGCGGGGAGGGGAGGAGAGGGCTCCAGCCTGTCCTGCGCTTCCCTTCCCGCTGCCTTCTGCTCCTTCTCAACAAGGACCAGTCTCTTGCTGTTGGCAGACACCCCTCCTGGCTGGACTGACTGCTGTCAGTCTCCGCAGGGCCTGGCTGACTCCCAGATTAGCTCTCTCTGTACCTGTTTAAGCTTCTAACAGCCCGGGAAGTGTCGAATTTAGATGAGGCGCCTGAGGTGGCTGCACCACTTATTCCTCCCAGTGGCTGCCCTTCCCTGAGCCACTGGGCAGTCAGAGGCCAGGATGCACCAATTCAAACCTCTCCTCAGACCCCAGAAACTACAGCCTGGAGCAATTGAGCATCAATAGAAACAACTTGAAAACAACTTTTATTTTTTTTTTAACCATCCCTGAAGCCTGCTCCTTGCAGGGGAACACACACCGTAGTCTGCCCCAACACCAGTCCTCCTGTTGTTAGGGAAAAGTGTGTCATATAGCTGACAGGGATCAGGTATTTCTGTTGCATACCCACAGATGATTGTGAAGCTTCGTAAAGGTCTTATGGGGTAAAGATGTATCAGCGTGTGAGGTTTTAATCCAAAACCATATGTGTTACCATCACTTAGACATAGCAGGCTAGATGCTGAACATTGCTTTTCAGTTCATCCTGGGTGTTTTCAGATGACAGAAATACCCTCCCTACCTCTCTATGTGGCTGAGGAGAGAGTTTTGTAATCAGCTTTGTAACAATACATTTATATTGGTAGTTTCATGTTTTAAGAGGAGACTCCATTTATATAAAATTGCTGTAAAAACTTTTGGTAAAATGTTTTGCATTAAATGCTTTTATTTTCTCTTGAGTGCTTGCCTTTGACTGTTCAACTGTCATTTCAAAGATCATGGCTTTGCAGAGTTAATTGTCGTACAGGGAAATGATTCATTCCTACTTTTTAATATGCTCATAAGGAACTCTGGGATTTTTGAGGATATGATTGCATCGTTGTTAAATCATAGGAAGTTCAAACTACTCTGAAGGAATAATAGGAGATTTTGTTTTGCAACAGTTTAAACGTGCAAGTTTGAAATAACACGTGTTTGATTCCTGGAAGAGAGGATACGATGGTACTTTTCTCAAGCTGTATTTCTTGTGTCTCGTTGAAACCTCTTGCTTATCCTGGTCTGGCCTTCTCCTGAGAAATTGTTACTGATGCCTTCTACGTAACTTCTGCTTCAGCGTATTTTAGAGTTGTCACGTTCACAGTGTTGCTAGAGCTGGAGCAATCAGTGTAATGAAATCCATAAAATGCTTTTTTTTACTAGATTAAAATGGAGATTATTATGAAAGAAAGGAGCTTTTGATTACAAGGAAGGCAACAGAGGTGTGGCAAGGACTCCTATTTCAGCAAGAGCCCCTGTTACCGATTGATACAAGGGACGGTTTCCTTTCGCAGCAGCAGGCTGCAGAGATAACTGCCCGCTTTCCCTTTCTACTCCAGCTTTTTGGCAGCGCTGGCTGCAGCCTGCGCAGGACCACTGCTGTGCGAGGCGCAGACAGCACCGCTGCCCTTCCAAGCACTGCCTTTGCACTGCCCGTTTCCCTGCAATTTCCCATCATAACGTCAGACACACAAAAAAGAGCAATTTCCTGGCCTCTACCAAGAGCTGAGCATAACCCTTTTTAGTTTTGCTCTACACAGGGGTGAAGCTCTTCAGCCTCCATTCTCCAGTTCTCAGGCTGGAAACTCCTGCTCTTGTTGGTGGCACCCAGGCTGGGAGACGCTGGTCCTGGCCTGTCCCCAGGTTGCTGCAGAGGAGCCCGGAGTTTGAGCAGTTTGGCCATGGCCGTGTGCTGAGTCAGCAGCCGGGCTGGGGTTTGTACCGAGAGCCTCTGCAGGGCAGCGAGCGCCATCAGCGCTCCCTCAGCCAGACCCTGCGGCACGTTTTTGTTCGGAATTCCCACCTCTCTACTCCCTCCCACACCAGTACTTCTGCATACTTGGTCAAACCTTCTTTAACTTCAGCTTTTCTTCCAATCAGCAGAACTACAAGGACAAAGTGACACAAGGAAAAGAGTGAGCTGGACTCATGGGGGTACAAGGTGGATACAGAGAGCAGGGCAGTGTGGTGTAGTCCTCATTTTTACAAAACCGGGCTCTTTGCTGTGTGATTTGCAGAGTTTCTACTACCTGAATCAGGAAACCTTTCCTGCCCCTTTCATCACTTGGTTCTCCAGCCAGGACAGTGTGTTAAAGGAATACCCAGCTCCTGCTGTGGCCAGAGCAACAGGCAGGACTTGTGCAGCCTTACTACAGAAACTCACTCCTGGGGACTCCTGTGCTATTTGTAAGCACATTTTTACATTCTTTGTTTTTGACACTTTTCCAGTAAATGCGCTTAGAGAGAATTTTAACCAGCGGCTGAAGTAGCTTTTGTCTGGCCTTGACTAGAGTAACACCAGCATGTTACTGCATTGCTCCATACCTGAGTCATTTTGCTGAAAGGCAGAAGCACTGGGTGACCACGAAATTTATTATTTCCTGAGATGTGGCACAGTAGCAGTGAACACCGTGAGCTCAAAACACCCTCCAGAAGGCGCTGATGGGTGATGGGGCTGGCAGCCGTGACCACTTGTTTCCACATAGCCTGACAAAGGAGCTCTCAGGAGGTTCGTCTCTTCACCTCTGCTTCTTCTGGCATGAATTCAGCCTGGCCCCTCAGGGACCATAGTATTGGCTGTGTGGGAAACGGGACTGATTGAATACTTTTCAAGCTAAATAGCTGCAACTCTGTTTCCATATTTACCAAGAGAAAAAGCCTGAAATATTGTTCAGTTTAATTTTGCCTGTTCCCCACTGCTTTAAATTGCTACAGCCCACTCTCTTGGTAGCAGGAGCTTGTACAAGCAATTGCTCTGCTTCAGCATCACGTACTGGTACCCAGCTCCTGTGAGGCCATCAGTAGTCAGACTGTGTTTCAGGGTCTCCAAGGAAATCCTGCTTTTCCCTCCAGCTCCTTTCCAGACAGGGACCAAGCAATGAGTGTTCCTTAGAGCCCAAGCCCCCTCAGCCATAAGGGCGAGGGGCTCCGTGGGATGGAGCAGAGAAGCACATGCAGAATTCAGTCCAGCACAGCCTGGCTCGCTCCACATCTGTGCTAAATTTACTCCAATTTACTTCTTACTACGAATTAAAAACTACACAGAACATACCTCCACCAGGTAGTGCTCCAGGATTTGTCTGTCATATCCTCTTGAGCCTAAATGGTGGCACAGGGGAAATGTTAGGGCCCTGGACCGGACGCTGTTGGTACCAGCAGCAGAGCAGAGCACCGGCAGAGATGGATGGATGGAGACAACCTGGAGGAGCCTGTGACGGTCAGTACGATGGGCACGGGTGTGCCAGGGCTCCTCGCTGGAGCCCAGCCTGTGGGTTGCAGCTGCGGGACCCTTGAGG